TTAATTACAGTAATCCGTGGTAGGTGGAGATAACAAATGTATGGATCACTGTGACCCGGTCCTCTTCTCCTATCTGGCTGTCCAAGGTTAGTGAAGAGTCAAACAGGACCCCAAGGCTTCACAGCACTTTGATGAATGGGGGCTGCATGCCTTCAATAGAAGGTGGAAACAGCATCTTGACTAGTTCTTCAAAGCATTTCCCCTTTCTGACTAGTGTCACTTAACTCTGGCCTGGATTCAGCTTGTACTAACTGCTCTTCATCCATAAACTTATTTCTTGTAGGTGATCTGATATTTAGTAATGGTGGTGGTTGCATCAGTTGACCATGAGATATATAGCTGAATATCATCAGCATACTATTCACAGCCAAACCCAACACATCTCACTATCTCTCCCATTGGTGCATGTAGATATTGAAGAGAAGAGGGGATAGTAGGGATCACTGTGGGACCCCACATATGAAGGCCTTTAAAAGAGAAGGAACAGTCACACTTCATCACTCTGTAGAGAGGAACAACTGAAGCCAATGTGATTGGTTTTGTCCTATCTACTGCTGTACCCTCGATGATCTCTGAGAGAGAAAAGAATGAAGCTATAGCTCCACCTGCTCCTTTCTATGGCGGGGGTGGCCAAACTTACAGGTCCTCCGAGCGACATACAACAATCTACAGAAGTTCGAGAGCCGGGGCACATCTGCCTGGGGCCGGGACTTGGGGCTTCAGCCCAGCTCCTGATGAAGCCCTGAGCCCCAGCAGGTGCTGCCTGCTAGGCAGAAGCTCCAAGACCCCCTTCCCCGCTGGGCAGAAGCCTCTACTCCACCCTGCTGCAAGGCAGAGGTCTTGCGCTCCGCCCTCTCAGTCTGATATGTGGAGAATTGAGGGATGTGGGTGGGCTCTGTGAGCCGCACTTTAACCGTAAAAGAGCTGCATGTGGCTTGCGAGCCACAGTTTGGCCACCCCCGCTCAAGGGTCAGCAGGTAAGTAAACAGGACCTCATGATCAATGTTATTGAGGGCAGCTGATAGGTTTAATATCAGCATGGACACCTGATGCTGATATACCACCATCAAGCAATGCAAAAACTGCAGTCTCTGTGCAAAGCACCCAAGTCTGTACCTAGACCCACCTACAAGCTTCAGCCAAAGCAATCTGACTTAGGCATCTAGGTGCTATGAGAGTTTTCTTGCCAAAACCTAAAGCACAACATGGACTACTGATTTCATAGATATGGTCATATGAGTATCCTTTCTATCATTATGTATGGTATATTTATATGCAGTAGAAGGTTTTTTGAATTATATGGCTACAGATAGAGTCCATTGCTGGTTGTAAAAATTTGAGACTCCTTGAATTTTGTAGAGAAGAATGGATTCTGCTGCTGCAAACAGTACATGTAATCACTGCCACAGAACGGTCATAAAGTTCTAAGGACCTCAGTATATGTCCTGGTAAGGATTCCTAAATTTAAAATTAAAACTATATCATGTATTTCTTTTTAGCTCTCTTAACAACACTTCTTCAACTGCCTTGTTAGACAGTAAAATCTGGTAATAATTATCAAACACCATGCACACTATTTACAATAGAGTCATATTTCTTTTTTTGCATAAAAAAGTAGAATGCTGCTGAAAAGTACCCAAATGTCTGCTGTGCTCCATGCCAATACAGCAGCTTAGCCAAAAATGCAAAGAGAAAAGTTTGCCAAATAAAAGAAAACATAACAAATTGGTAATGGTTTCTATCTTGACAGAAAACTAAAATTATGCCTCAATGTGTGGCCACTCATGTGGACACATAAAAATATCTTAGAGACAATAATTTTACCTCAGATAACACACCCTGACAGTAGAGCACAGCATACTGGCTAGCTTTCACTTCCCTTAAAAGCAGCAGCCATGACTGACAAAATGGCCTAGGAATCACATAATTTATGCCTATCACACAAGCACATGCCATGCACTCATAATATTTACTACAAATCATCTTAAGTACAAACACTGCCTTTGGAGGGGTGGGTTGCAAGTAAGAGACAAGGAATTTTTAATGCGAATTTGCCACAACTGGATCAGTCCCAGTCCAGCTGAGGACACTGAAAGAAAAGGAAAAGAAAGAGCAAACCTTTCTCCCAATAAAACAAAGTTTAATTTTAGTTTCCAAAACATTCTAGTGTTGTGTATATATATAGTTTATATACTGCTTAGGGCTTATCTACATTGCTCCGCTTTGTGTACTACAGGAGTGCAGACCTTGCTAGTGCAAACTTAAAGGTTTATGTATTACTGTGGGCCAGGATTGTATGTAACCTCTCGAGGCGGGAGATGTGACAGATGTGAGTCCAAGGGTTTCAAAGGACTACACTGAACAATGTGCCAGACAAGAACAGACTTTTGAAACAGAAAGTGTTAAGTGGTTTTCCTGGGGAATATTTAGGGGGAAGTGATTTCAAATGCTCCATCTTTGGTTATACAAAAACCCAATCTTTTGAAACTATGCCCTTTGGAGAGGGTCTTGTCTGCTGATTACCTGTTACCGAAGACCAAGTTCAGAGGCCTGAGCTGTATAAAAAAAATGGCTGCTCTGCCCAGTTTGGGTTCTGGTTCTGAATCTGAGACAGTTATGAACTTATAACCACGGGGAAAACCTACCACAGTCCCAGGTTGGAGTTGGGTTGACTTCTGGTAAGCTTTTTAGCATATGTGATTATTTTATGGTTGAATAGGTTTTCTCTGTAATGTTCAAGAATAAACATGCTTGCTTATAAAGAGCTGTTGTGTGGTAAATTATAACTACGGGCAATTGCGCTGTTCATAACCTCTAGAAAGAAAGCAAAGCACAGACACTGGCCTTTTGGGTGGTCTGGCTTGCTGGGGATATCACTGTAGGCTAGGAATTGTGCAGCCTGGAAAAAGCCCAATCAGGAGGGATAGAGATACAGGTCTCTGCCCAAGAGAGATGACAGCTGAGGAGCCAGGAGCCTAGACTGGAAGCCCTGAGGGACCATGAAGAGGAAATACAGATATAGTTGCCTTGAACTGTGACACATATTTACACAAAACTGGTGTAAATTGTCACTGCTCCTTTTAAGTCTGTGGAGCTATACCAGGGGTGGCCAAACTTACTGGCCCTCTGAGCTGCATACGACAATCTTCAGAAGTTTGAGAGACAAGGCACACGTTGTGGGCCGGGGCTTGGGGCTTCAGCCCCGAGGGAGGTGCATCATGGGGCTTGGAGCTTCTACTGGGCTGAAGCCCCGAAACCCACTTCCCCGCTGCAAGGCAGAGGTCCCAAGCTTCCCTCCCCTCCCCCAGTCTAATGGATGAAGAACGGGGTGAGGGCATGGGGGCCTCCGCGAGCTGCACTTTAATGGTAAAATAGCCAGATATGGCTCATGAGCCACAGTTTGGCCACCCCGGAGCTATTCACTAGCTGAGGATGTGCTTCCTGGCTTATTAAACTAACAAACTTAGGTATTTCCAAAGTACGATGATGTCAAAAAGCATGGAAATAGTCATAATAGTAAAAGAATACTGGCCCATATATTTCTGTAGAAGAAATGCCCCCTGTGAAGTGAGTATATGGTTCTGGAAGTCAGGACTTCCTAATGTCAACAGTAAAGCAAAAATCAACTCCCAGTGACAGGAATGGAAAATGCAGTAGGAATGGGGCATGCCAGTGTGGCTCCTTCTGCTAATATATTTATATATCTTGCGAATACATGTGAAGATAAATAATAAATATGCTATTACACAGATTGGCATAGGCATAAACACTTTACTCATATATACATAGTATATAAAGAAGTGATGAGCAAAAGTTTCACACGAATATCTAAAAGTTAGGTGGTTATTTTTACTACCCATAATCTGACAGGTCCTGGCTCTCTTCTTCCTTGGGTCACACCTCGTCCCTATCAATAGGCCGTGGTTCCCCTAAATTCTGATGCTACTCACCAGCCTCTTCAAAGGGGCATTGTCTGCTCTTTTCTTCTTTCCAAAGCAGCAACAAGGAAGTAAGATATTGATATCACTTAGCTGAATCCTGCTATACTAGCTCACTGCAAAGTTGGTGGCTCTGTAGCTTCTGAAAAGTATGCTTGAGTGAGTACGATTACATTAGTTGCTTTTTTCTCCTGCTGATAATAGCCCACCTTAACTGATTACGCTCATTATCGTTAGTATGGCAACACCATTTTTTCATGTCCTCTGTGTATATATATCTTCCTACTGTATTTTACACTGCATACATCCGATGAAGTGGGCTGTAGCCCACGAAAGCTTATGCTCAAATAAATTTGTTAGTCTCTAAGGTGCCACAAGTACTCGTTCTTTTTGCTGATTCAGACTAACACGGCTACCACTCTGAAACTTGTCACATTAGCTGTGGAATTTCAGATGCAGGTAATGTACATTTGCATGGGATTAAAGTACAGAATATCACTAAGGGCTTGTCAATACAGTGATTTAGTGCATGGCAAGTCAGAGGGTGAATCTACAATGCTGTAGCCTGCTGCATACTAAGTGGCAATGTGTTGCTTGCACTAAAAGTTCCCTAGTTTTTTCAAAATAGCAGTAGATTAAAGCGTACTAGGGAACTTTTAGTGTACAGCAGCAGGGTCCACATAGCCATTTAGCACATGGCAGGCTAGTGTGCTGTAGACTTGCACGCTGGCTTGCTGTGCATTAAATCACTGTATAGACATGAACTAAATTTGAAGGAAGCAGAATCTCAGCTGAGATGCTACTGGTTCCTGCTACTTACTTTGGGGAGAGGGTGACTGGCAAAGAAAATGAACTACCTTGCTTCCTCCTGAAGAGGTCCTGAAGTAGGAATAGGGAAGCAGACTGTGTAACCTTCTCCAGAAGAGAACCTACCACTACAGGTAAGTGCCAATGGGAAAAAAAAAAGGTTCTGGTTCAAAGATGAGTGAAAATTTGGAGTAGGCTTTATTTTTCCCTAATCAGATTTGCCCTTCCCGAATATAATGCATTAAAAATCCTTACCATCCTTCATCATCCTCTACTTCAGGTTCAGACATTTCATTTTCAGGAGTGTCTGCTATTGCCTGAGTTAGCTTTGATTTGAATCGGTCCAGTAGCGCCAGCGTCTGAAATGAAATATCTTTTGTTTTACTGAAGTTTTGTAACAATAAAATACGCAATACACTTACGTTTGGATTACTTGAGGAGTAGTCAATTGAGGTGGATTAGAAATTGTTCAAAAAATATTTGAGGAAGATATTCCCACACAGTTCACAAATTCTCCATCCCCATCAGTGATTACCATGTTGCCTTTTTGACATGACCATATGATATAAATGTTGGGAGGCAAGGTATGGTGTAACAAACTGAATGAAACCATTGGCTTTTAATGTGGTCATTCAAGTACATTTCCTATCATTTTAACAAACAATAGATGATAAATTAATAATCCTCCTGCAAAGAACAACCTCCAGATAATTTATGAAAGTGGATATAAACAAACTATATATTGCTATTAGTATATTAGTAAGAGTTATAAATATTAATACCTAGAAGTAATGTAAGGAATTTGTTATAGGTTATGAACTCTGGTCAGTCATTTACAATGCCTTAAGCATTTTTACTTAAAGGAGCAGTTAATTACTAAGAGTAAGATAATCAATAAACAACGCAGACTATGGAGGACAATTATACTGTGGAGAGTTGTCATTTTTCTCTGGTGAAGAAATCAATGAAATAAATTAAAAATAATTCAGCCTTTGATGTCCTAATTTGGTTTACATTTACATACTGTATTTTACAGTGCTGATACAACCTTTCCAATTCTGTACTAACATTTCCAAAAAATTGTAATAGTATGTGAGGGGAAATATTTTGTGTGTATATCTATCTATCTATCTATCTATCTCACAAAAAATTCTCACAGCAAAATAACTGACCAAGTATTATTAATTTACCAACTACAATTGGTTAATAACTTAGATAGATTAATAACTAAATCACACAGTGTTTTATTAGCATGTGCTGCAAAGAGCCGCAGGAGGCACATTAAAGAGCCACCTGCGGCTCGCAATCCTTAGCCTGAGTATCACTGCTGTAATTGTACTGATACATTATATCATAATCACAGTCACTTAAAGCTGTTATTTTGTAAAGACCTCTGTATGACTGCTTTTATTTTTTAAATCTAGTTCTAAAAGTAAAAAAGAAAACTTTTTGAAGTCTCTCCCCAAAAGTTAAAAAATGGGAATCAGAAACAGAAAATATCATAAATGTGCAATGTAGTCAAATTTCCTTGTGCAAGCAACCTTATCTTTGGGAACTTCCCGGCTTATGAGTGCTTTCACTACTTTAGTGTAGCATTAACAATAGGATTTTTGTTTGGTCTGGTTTTTTGGTTGGGAAAGACGGTTGCATTTAACGTCCATATTTTGTGTTTAAGAAAAGTGGGAGGGGAAGAGAGAGAAGAAAAATTTCAGAACTAAAGATTTTGCACAGCATAATAGCTCCACAGCTTTGACCAGGGATGCAAACAAGTTGCTTCCCTCCTCCTACTCCCCCCAGTGGAGGCTTTGTCTGTGTGAGCAGGAGAAAGAAAACCCCTGGCCGCTTTAAGGGTTGTAAAATTCATTTTGTTGCATTAGCAGATATCCAGTACACGTTCAACAGGGGGTCTGGCTCCCTCATAAACTGGAGTTAGAAGTGGATTAGGAGATGATTAGTTGGTGCTGGTCCATGCTTTGAGCAGGGGGTTGGACTAGATGACCTCCTGAGGTCTCTTCCAATCCTAATCTTCTATGATTTTATAAGAGATCTCAAAGAAGATGGGAAAGGAGACTGGGCTCCTCATGTTTGGTACAGTGAGGAAACAATCCCCTTTCCCTAGCCCATTAACCCTCTGATGAGGGCAATGGCATCCCAATAGCAGTACTGGGACCCAGCAGAAGGGAAAGGTGTCTGTGTGGCCGGGGGAGGAGGGGAGAGGGCTGATGGTGGTTGTCCTCCAGGTACAAAGGAAGGATGACCTACACTGGATGAGTTATTGCTGGATAGTTCCCAGATATGTTACTTAATAAAGTTGTGGCCTTGTTAAACTATGTTCCTGGTGTCTTGCCGGTCTTCCTGCAGAGTCAAGGACAATGATCATACTGTAGGTATTCACCTCAGCTGATTATGATCCACGTTGCCAATGGAACTTTAATTTCTTTCACTGAGAGTTAATAGCCTTTGGAGCTACAAAATTTCCATGAACTTTTTAGTTTAGAGCTAAATCAGCTTCATGAACTAAAAGCTTCATCATTCCTTGCTATGAAGTTATTAAACTTCAAGTTTCCAATCTCTTTCAGTAGCAGAACATTTATATTCATAGAATCATAGGACTGGAAGGGACATCAAGAGGTCATCTAGTCCAGTCCCCTGCATTCAAGCTAAGGGCTAAGTATTATCTAGACCATCCCTGACAGATGTTGTCTAACCTGCTATTAAAAATCTCCAATATAGAGATTCCACAACCTCTCTAAGCAATTTATTCCAATGCGTAACCACCCTGACCGTTAGGAAGTTTTTCATAATGTCCAACTTAAACTGCCCTTGCTGCAATTTAAGCTCCCTGCTTCTTGCCCCATCCCCAGAGGTTAAGGAGAACAATTTTTCTCCCTTCTCTTTGTAACAACCTTTTATTTGAAAACTGTTATTATGTCCCCTCTCAGTCTTCTCTTCTCCAAACTAAAAGCCAGTTTTTTCAATCTTCTCTCAGAGGTCATGTTTTCTAGACCTTTAATTATTTTTGTTGCTCTTCTCTGGACTTTCTCCAGTTTGTCCACATCTTTCCTGAAATGTGGCACACAGACAGGACATACTACTCCAGTTGAGGCCTAATCAGCATGGAGTAGAGCAGCAGAATTTCTTCTTGTGTTTTGCTTACAACACTCCTTCTAATACATCCAAGAATGAAGTTTGCCTTTTTTGCAACAGTGTTGACTCATATTTAGCTTGTGATCCACTATGACCCCCAGATCCTTTTCTGCAATACTCCTTCCTAGGCAAAAGTCATTTCCCATTTTGTATGTGTGAAATTGGTTGTTCCTTCCTAAGTGGAGTACTTTGTATTTGTCCTTATTGAATTTCATCCTATTTGCTTCAGACCATTTCTACAGTTTGTCCAGATCATTTTGAATTTTATCCTATCCTCCAAAGCACTTGCTATCTCCCTCCCGCTCCCAGCTTGGTATCATCTGCAAACTTTATAAGTGTACTCTCTATGCCCTTATTTAAATAATTGATGAAGATATTGAACAGAACCAAACAAAGAACTGATCCCCGAAGAACCATACTTGATATGCCCCCCCTTCCACTCTGGGAATGGTTTTCCAACCAGTTATGCACCCAGCTTATAGTAGCACCATCTGGTTTATTTATGAGAAGGTCATGCTAGACAGTATCAAAGTCAAGATATACCACATCTACTGATTCCCCGCCCCATCCACAAGGCTTGTCATCCTGTCAAAGAAAGCCATCAGGTTGGTTTGACACAATTTGTTCTCCACAAATCCATGCTGTTACTTGTTAACTTGTAGGTGTTTGCCAATTAATTATTTGCTCCATTATCATTCTGGGTATTGAAGTTAAGCTGACTGACTGGTCTGTAATTCCCCAGGTTGTCCTTAATTCCCTTTTTACAGATTGGCATATTTTACCTTTTCCAGTGCTCTGGAATCTCTTCCGTCTTCTATGACTTTTTGAAGATAATCACTAATAGCTCAGATATCTCCTCAATCATCTCCCTGAGTATTCTAGGATGTATTTGATCAGACCCTGATGACTTGAAGCATCTAACTTGTCTAAGTAATTTTTAACTTGTTCTTTTCCTATTTTACCCTCTGATCCTACTTCATTTTCACTGGCATTCACTATGTTAGACATACAATCGCTACTAACCTTTTTGGTGAAAAACAAAAAAGTCATTTAGCACTTCTGCCATTTTCACATTTTCTGTTATTGTTTTTTCTCCCCTCACTGAGTAACGGGCCTACCCTGTCCTTGGTCTTCCTCTTGCTTCTAATGTATGTTTTTTTGTTACCCTTTATGTCTTTAGCTAGTTTAAACTCGTTTTGTGCCTTGGCCTTTCTAATTTTGTTTCTACATACTTGTGTTATTTGTTCATATTCATCCTTTGTAATTTGACCTAGTTTCCACTTTTTGTAGGACTCTTTTTTGAGTTTCAGATAATTGAAGATCTCCTGGTTAAACCAGGGTGGTCTCTTGCCATACTTCCTATCTTTCCTACACAGTGTGGTCGTTTGCTCTTGTGCCCTTAGAAAAATTGCCAACTCTTGAAATGTTTTTCCCTAGACTTGCACTGAAGTGTGCCTTCTTGAAATCCATTATCTTTATTATGCTGTTTTTCCCTCCTCCCATTCCTTAGAATCATGAACATTACCATTTCATGATCACTTTCACCTAAGCTGCCTTCCACTTTCAAATTCCCAACCAGTTCCTCCCTATTTATCAAAATCAAATGTAGAACTGCCTTTCCCCTTGTAGCTTTCGCCACATTCTGAAATAAAAAACTGTATCCAATACATTCCAATAACTTGTTGGACAATCTATGCCCTGTAGTGTTATTTTCCCAATAGATGTCTGGGTAGCTGAAGTCCTCCATCACCACCAAGTTCTGTGCTTTGAATTATTTTGTTAGTTGTTTAAAAAAAAGCCTCATCCACTTCTTCTTCCTGGTTAGGTGGTCTGTAGTAGACCCCTAACCTTTGTATCCAAATACAAACATTTGTAAAAAGTGTAATGTATGCATTTTGGACACGTTATTTTCTGCTTTACAGTTTCACGTTTTAAAATATTCCAAATTTTGTTATCTAAAAGCCCCATCTATTTTAAACTTAGCAAAGCACATTTGCAGGAGCGCATGGGAGGTCATGGCCACCACACAAGGGCAACTCTATGTGGGTTGTATCAGAGGGGTAGCTGTGTTAGTCTGTATCCACAAAAACAATGAGGAGTCTCCGGTGGCACCTTAAAGACTAACAGATTTATTTGGACATAAGCTTTCATGGGTAAAACCCCCCACTTCAGATGCATGGAGTGAAAATTACAGATACAAGCATATCTGTAATTTTCACTCCATGCATCTGAAGTAGTGGGTTTTTTTACCCAGGAAAGCTTATGCCCAAATAAATCTGTTACTTTTTAAGGTGCCACCGGAGACTCCTCATTGTCTGTGTGGATAGCCCTTCTCTCCAGAAGTTTTTTAGGGCAAACTCATGGCACTTTCAAGCATAGCAATATTGATGTTCTGACTGAAGAACTGACTGGAAACTTCACAGATTTTCCCAGCACCTATGCCTGAATAACTCACATAAGGGACCACTAAGGCCTCTTTTTTTAAAGAATTAAGCCAACCTTTCTCTTGGAGTGAAATTTTGTGTAATACAATTGAAGAGATAAGAAACTTTTCCAGAGTTTTCTGTGAAATAGGTTTTTCTTAGTGTCTGTTTTATTATTTTAAGCAACTACCTGCTCTTCACGAGATATCCCTTTCTTTGGCTGTTGCTTCCGCAGATCTTCATACTTTTTCTTCTCCTGTAAATATTCTGTAACTATGCTGTTTGGATCAGCTTCTTCCTCTGAAATAGAAAACAATGTTTTTTTGCTAAACAAGTGCAGTGAAAGTATACTTTGTGATTTAATATCAGTGTACAGGCTTGTCATGTCTTCTGAATTACCAGACAAAACACCTTATGAAAAGCTTTTGGATATATAACTGCCTCAGTATTTAAGTCTCTTGCTGTAAGTCACTCTCTCCACCCTCAAATCATCTGTGTGGTTCCAGCTTACCAAATGATCCAGATCAATCTATATGACTCCCCTGTCCTCCTCACTATTTACCATTCCACCAACGTGTGCATTATCCCAAATTTCATCAGCAAAGATTTTATATTTACTTTGAGATCACTGATGAAAATGTTGTATAGCATCAGGCCTTGTCCTGACCCCTGTAGAACCCACTAGAAACCCCATTCAATGATGATTCCCCACTGACAACTACTTTTTAAGGCTGATCAGTTAGCCAGTTCTTAATCCATTTAACGTGTGTTATATTGATATTGTATAGTTCCAATTTTCTCATCAGAATGTCACACAAAAGTCAAATTTTTACAAAATTCTAAGTATATTACATCCACGCAGATACCTTTGTCAACCAAATTTGTACTCTCATCAAAGAATGAAATGAAGTTTGTTTAGCAAGACCTGTATTCCATTAAACCACATAACTGGTATTAATTATATTCCTATCCCTTAATTCTTTATTAACTGAATCCCATATCAGCTTGTCCATTATTTTGCCTAGGGCTGATGTCAAACTAACTGTTCTACTGTCCCTCAGGCCATCCTGCTTGCCCTTTTTGAATACTGGCTACACTAGCACTCTTCCAGACTCAGCTTACAATATAAAACACGTGTATGAGACAAATTAATAGAGAGGGGGGAAAGAAGACAAGAGTAAAAGAAATAAGATAGATAACTGACCGCCTAAGCCAAAAGTTCCTGATTGTTTCAGGTGTTGTGGAAAGTTTGTTTTTTTACATAGATAATTCAGTACAGGTTTGCAAAATAATATCCAATATGCAGCAGATGAAGTTTAGAAGCGGAAAAAGACTTGTTAGACTAGATAATCTATCTCCCTGCCAATGACAATGCAAAGTGAAGTCTGCATTCACAGTTAAGATCAAAGCATCCAGCCCAGCATGCCTGATCTGATCCCACAAATTTTTGAGGTCAATAACACTGGCTACTAATGTTTTTCACAAAGTACAGTCCTACAACAAAATGGACAATATACTGGATAAGCACAACCAAATTCATAGTACAACCATCTTTTTCTGGGTGTCAAATTTAAATCCTTTGAGAAGATTATTCAAGCAGCCATACCACCTGTCTAGTTTTGCTGCTCACTGGTTCTTGGTCTTTTGAGAGATTTAGTCACCTGGTTTAATAGGTTTTTTACATATCTCCCTCCGCCCCTCAATATATTTTCATTTCCAGCCAAAATGAACAAGCAAACAGCTTGAGAACAGCTGAGAGACCTATCTGCCTTTCATTATTGTGCATCTGTGATATCAGGGTTAAATCCTGCCTTAGGGTCCATCTGGAATGCATAGAAATGTAGTATTGTTGAAATACTTCTACATGGTGAAAGAAAAATTAACAAGTAAAGACATCACAGTTTGGCAAACAAAATGCATAACATACATTTTTGCCCTATACAGTGGGCTTTTAAAGACAATTTTGTAAAGGGCAATCTTTTTATTAAGACTGCCACGGTGAAGAGGGGGAAATTACTTCCTCTATCAAAGATGTCTGTGAAAGTCTTTTGTGATATGTTAATTGGAACTTCTATGGCAGTAATAAGGTCTTGTCATTTAGAATCTGTTCAAATTCAACTGTCTTTTTGCTAGATTGTATGGTATGATTTAGAGTCATGTTTGAGGATTTGTGACTGCTTTGTTACCAAAAGTTTATACACACACCATCAAAAACTATTTAAAACAATTCTTAGTTGTTGACTGCAAAGAAAATTGCTAGCTTGTTAGAATAACTTTCAAAGGATTCCTAACTATCTAGATAAGGAATACTACAACAAACAGATTACAGTTCAGGTTCTGCTTCTCTGGCTATGAAATGGGATGGGATGGATGTGGAATGTCTTGTAGGTAAAAAGGAATATCTATCCCCTGTCTGGTGTAAAAACCCATTTGGACCTTCTGCATTGCAGCGTGTCTGGGGAAGGAAAGGCTAGGCTATGGGTGCTCTGGGGGAGAGACAGGGTTTTGGGTTCCATTGCTACTTGGTCCTCTTGTCTTCTGTTCTGCGGGGGATGGGGCTGCAGAGCCTACTTCAGCCAATAAACTAGACCAGGTTTTGTAGCCACTCTGTGGCTTGAGGGAAAGGATTCCTTCACCACAGCAGCCTTGTGCATCTGCCTAGCATCTAACCTGGCTAGTCGGCTGGCTGCTGGGCAGAGATTTTAGCTTTCAGGGCAATCAGAAAAGTTCTGTTACAGTATTTAGAACCCACCAGAAAGAGTGAACAAATCACACAAAATCTGGTAATGCAATTCAACTAAACAAAAAACAAACAAAACAAAAAAAGAAAAGAGAAATATAGGTATCCAGATGACATGCCTTATAACTAAAATGATCAAGGCAGGAGCAAAGAAGGTAACAAATTGAACTGGTATAGCCGCATAACTCTTTACTAAGAAGCACATCAACTGTGATATTTTTGCTCCCATTATTGATACTCCATAATTCAGCTAATTTATGCTATATATATGTAGATATCTCTCTCTATATATATACACACAGAGCATATATATATATATATAATTTAAAATCCTGTTGTAGTATGAATAGAAATTCTAATTCTAGGTCACTGTTAGAGGTTTCTATCATTTTTCAGCTTCAAACAGGTATGTTTCTTTCCCTCCCAGGCCTGTACAGCTTTACTCATGATACAAAGACACCCTGGTTTTAGGTGAAGGTATATGAAAGAGTCCTTACTTTTTTTAACTCTCTAAAACAGTTCTAAAGGAGATTTTCTGCACAATATATGTAATAATATCAGAATACATGATGGTATGTTATGAATACATGTTTTATTGACACTCATTTGGAATGACTATATAACTCATCATATTCATCGATACTTTGGGTCCTGCGCTGCAAGCTTATAGGGACAAAATCCAAAAGCCACAAAAGGAGTTACACTAGCAAGGGACATAAAAGGCTATAAGAACAAGTTCTTTAAAAACATTAGAAGCAAAAGACATGAAGGAAAGTGTAGGTTCCTCTACTTAGTGGGAAAGGGAGAGCTAATAACTGATGAAATCAAGAAATCTGCGTTGTTTATTGCCTGTTTTGCTTCAGTCTTCACTAAAAAGGTTAACGGAGAGCAGATAATCAACACAATTAATATTAACAAAGGGGAAGGAACACAAGCCAAAATAGAGAAAGAACAGCTTAAAGAATATTTTGATGAATTAGCTACATTCAAGTTGGAAGGGCATGATGAAATTCATTCTAGGGTACTTAAGGAACTAGCTAAAGCAATCGTGGAATCATTAGCAATGATCTTTGAGAACTCCTGGATGATGCGTCCAAGAAAACTGGAGAAGGGCAAACATAATACCTGTCTTTAAAAAGGGAACAAAGAGGACGCATGGAATTATAGACCAGTCAGCCTAACTGCGATACCTGGTAAGAGACTGAAACAAATTATTAAACCATCAATTTGTAAGCACTTAGAGGATAATAGGGTTATAAGGAATAGCCAGCATGGATTTGTCATGAACAAATCATGCCAAACCAACCTAATTTCCTTCTTTAACAGGTTTGCTGGCCTGGTCATAGGGGAAAGGAGTAGACATGATATATCTTGATTTTAGTAAAGCTTTCGACACAGTCCTACATGACATTCTTTTAAATAAACTAGGGAAATATATGAAATTACTAGAAGGTGGGTGCACAACTGGTTGAAAGCCATAGACATTACCATAGAACATCTATAGACACAAATTCTGTGCTTGAAGAACAAGTGTATAGCAGTAGGAATATTCTACCAACCATCTGACCAGGATGGTGATGGTGACTGTGAAATTCTCAGGGATATTAGACAGGCTACAAAAAACCCAATAATAAGGGGGATTTCAACTATCTCCATATTGACAGGGTACATGTCACCTCAGGATGAGATGCAGAGATAAAATTTCTAGATACCATTAGTGATTGCTTCTTGGAGCACCTACTCCTAAAACTCACAAAGGGAGAGGCAATTCCTGATTTAGCCCTAAGCAGCGCAAAGGATCTGGTCCAAGAACTGAATATAGCAGAACTGCCTGGTAATAGCAACTAACATCCTTGTGTGGGGAAATTACCAAAGAAACCTATCATAGTAGCACTGAACTTCAAAAAGGAGAGCTACGCTAAAATGAGGATAATTAAACGGAAATTAAAGGTAACAGTCACAAAAGTGAAATGCCTGCAAGCTGCAAGGAAACTTTTTAAAAAATACCATAATACAAGTTCAAACTACATGTATACTCCAAATTAAAACAGTAAGAGAACAAACAAACAAAAGCCACCATGGCTAAACAACAGAGTAAAAGAGGCAGAGAGAGACAAAAATATATCTTTTAAAAATTGGAAGTCAAATCCTACTGAGGAAAATAGAAAGGAACAAACTCTGGCAAGTCAAGTATAAAAGTTTAAATAAGCAGGCCAAAGAAGAATTTGAAAAGCAACTACCAAAAGACAAAAAACTAACAGCAAAATTGTTTTGAAGTATATCAGAAGCAGGAAGACATGCCAAACACCCAGAGGGGCCACTGGAAGATTGATGTGCTAATGGAGCACTCAAGGAAGACAAGAAAACAGAGTAGGAATAAGTGGTCAGTTTTTGCAATGAAGAGAAGTAAATAGTGGGATCCCTCAAAGATCTGTGCTGGGACCAGTGCTGTTCAACAGAGAGGTGGCAACATTTGCAGATGATACATTACTTAAGATAGTTAAGTTGAAAGCTGACTTTGAAGAGTTACAAAGGGATGTCACAAAACTAGGTGGCTGGG